ATAAAGTATATTCATTTGCTTCAAATTAAAATGGGCTAATGGATTTTAAAATGATTTGGGCTTAAAAATTAAAATTATGAAATAATCTAATTTATTCAATTAATTTGCTAATTTGTATAGGAAAAAAATAAAATAATTTAATTAATTCAATATAAAAAATAAAAAAATTATTTAGTTTCGGTTCTTATTCGGTTCTTTGGTTCTTGGTCTAGACCCGAGACCCGACCCAAACCCATCGGTTCTCGATTCGAGTACCCGTTCGGGTATTTAATTTATGAAGAACCGTTCGGTTCGGTTCGATTCAAGTTCGGTTCGGTCCGGTTCGGTTCGGGACTTTTGAATACCCCTAGACAAAATACTAAGTCCATCTTTAGTTCATGTTGACCCACAAGTACTACACAATTATTAATCATTCAATTCTATCTATTTATAATTTAAACAGTTTATAAACACTTCTCAAACATATTATAAATGTCATTTTGTGTGCATAATGACAACGTGTTATAAATATCTCAGAGCTTGTTGCCTGATGTCTCTTGCCTTCAATCACAATTTTTCCCATCTTTAGTGATTCTGTGGCAGTCTTAGGGTTGTTTGGAGTTTAGTATTTAGATTATTTTTTTAACAATCCAAAAATAATTTCTCGGTAAGTGGTGCAAAACATCTCTAATTTGAAGGTTTTTGTGGAAAACGTCCGTACCTTTCTTTTTTTGGTATAGAACGTCCTTATCTTTCACATTCTTCGCACTAAATGTCCTTTTTACCAATTTGTAACATAAAAGGACCATTATACTCTCATATATAAATAAAACAAAAAAGAAAAGAAAAGAAAAATAAAGAATAAATTGCAATATGCTGCTAAACTTTTTTAAAAATGCAAATCAGTCCAAAAAGTGGTGATTTTTTTGCCTTTTTTCAGCCCAAATGAGTCCAAATTCCGGTAGCCGGACGTCGGACTTTGACACTTGTCAACAGCCCTCCAATTTCCCCTTAATTACCACCCAACCACTCCTAATTTCATCAACTGTAGTGGTCGGTATTACTGTTGAAAGTTCACTGTCCTCAAATATAAAAATCGTCAAAAATTATATTTCGGCCACCCCCATGATCGGAACGCACCTCCTATCAATTGCCTATCACCAGACAACCACACCCATGCTAACAATTTACAACAAACATAAAAAAAAATTAATTTCATGTTAGATTCTTTGCTAGTCGCGACACAGCCTGAAAACTTCTCAAATTCCGGCACCGTCCGGAACACCCATGGTCACGAACCACCTAGGCTAGGTCCCTCTTCACCAGGTGCACCTAACCCAACCATGGGTCTAGGTCAATTTCGACCTGAAGCCGTTCAATTCGTGGGAAAAATACTATGTTCCAAAAATTGTAATGGAATTTCGACCTGAAGTTCTAACGAATCCGGGCAAAATTATGGAATAGCTTCGCCTTGATGAAAGGGTGCTGAATAGAGTGGTCCGAGACCGTGGGTCAAAGGGACGACGTCGGAATTAGACAAATTCAGTGCGCGGCGCGATAGTTGCGATTGCGTTATTTTCAGTTTCAAATTGAATCTATTGGATAAGTGTTTTGGTTGAATTGCCCACATGGCTGAGGTTGTCTGGGTGTGGGCAACCGGATGGTGATGGTCCCCGATCCTGTTGCTGGCCGGAGGTGCGACTTCCAGCAATTTGTCCATTTTTCGAGTAGCTGATTTTGCTTACTGATTTATGCCGAATTATGAGATGATATGGGGAATTCTTGGGTTGGAATTGTAGACGGTGTTGAGGAGATTGTGTTGGTACCAATGTCCGTAGGTTGTGGCGATGGAGAAAAGTAGATGCAGTCATCAGACGGTGGAGGTGATGGGGGAGGTAGAGGAGAAAAGAGAATGTGTTTTTGTTATTTGTAATGTTTTCATAAATTTTGNACATTTTCATAAGTTTTGGACTGATTTGAATTTTTAAAAAAGTTTTAGAGCAGACTGCATTTTATTCTTTATTTTTCTTTTCTTTTTTGTTTTATTTATATAGAAGGGTATATTGGTCATTTTATATTAAAATTTGGTAAAAATGACGTTCGGCGCAAAGAATGTAAAATGTATGGACGTTCTAAGCCAAAAAACGAAAAGTAAAGACGTTTTTCACAAAAACCTTCAAAGATAGCGACGTTTCGCGGCAGTTACCCATAATTTCTCTAACTTCCATAGCGAGTCGCCAATAATTATTGGGCGTAACAAGTTTGACCACAGCTAGTTCATGAATATGCAAAAAATATTGGCTCTGTTTGAGCCCCATTTATTGGGAGAACAGATTTTTGTAATGGTGATATATTTTTTTTAGAATGTGCGGTTAAAAAGTAAAAAAAAAAATAATATTTGAATTTACGTATAAAATTGTTTTATTAAAAGAATGTATGATTAAATATGAGTTCGAAAAGTTATATAAGTTTTTTAAAAAATAGAGCTCAAAATAGGGTATATTATCAATAATCACGAAGAGAGATTTTAAATTCAATCTATTTGCTTAGGCCTTCGATATTAACATTTGAACCTATACCTCCCATACGAAACGTCTTGAAGGGGGGGCATTTCCCACATTTTTTCTGCATTTTGAACCCCTTCAAGAAAAACATACATACCAAGAGAATTTCCTTTGTAATTATCACATATATGTTTGTTTAAAACTTTAATTAGATGAAAAATTAAAAAGATAACAAGACAAATTGATTGAGGAAATGTAGAGTAGAATTAAGATGTGATAAAATTAGCAGAAAATGACAATACTAGGTTAACAAAGAACATAGAGGAGGAAGATCCCAGAAAGGTTCTTCAGTAGTATCATAGACTGTGTCGATATATTCTTGCACACCATTAAGAGCGTAAAGCGAAGCTGATATCTGTCTTTCAACTTTAATACGCTCAAATTCTGTTAACTGATCAATCTCTGAATTCTCTGGCAAGAATGAAAAACGATCATGGACATCAGGAACTTGTTCAAAACTCCCTGTCATGGCCATGCCAGATTGAGAAGAACCCGAACAACTGCTCAAATCAGGCCTGTATACATCCTCAAACAAATGGCTATCTTCTATTAATTTCCCAGAAGAAGAAGAAGAAGAAGATGACAAAGAAAATGAAGAAGAGTCGTGATCACTACTATTGGTAGGACTATTAAAGGAAATAGAACTAGTGACATTAATACGAGCAGTTGCTGCAACTTTGCTACTTGTAGAAGAGGCTGTAGGTTCATGTTTTGCATTTTTCTTCTTGTTGAGAAGATTTGTAATCCTAAAAGCAAGCGCAGAATTCGAAGAGACATGCTGAGTGACAAAATTGGTACGTGTGTTAGATCCGCGTAGAAGACAGGCAGCTTCGTCATAGGCACGAGCAGCTTCTTCAGCAGTTTCAAAAGTTCCAAGCCACATCCTAATCTTCTTTGTTGTGTCTTTAATCTCAGCTACCCATCTCCCAGAAGGCCTTTGTCTCACACCAACAAATTTGTTATTGCCATTGCTTTTGTTTCTTACATGAGCTTTTCTTGTTCTGCTCAAGGGAGGAATCCTTCCTTTCTGCTTCTGTTGGAAGTTAATATCCATTAATTTGGTTCAGATAAACAGAGAGTAAATTTAGGATTTATGTAAGTTCAGCAACATACCCTTGTTATTCTTGTTAATGAGGGTTTTATACGTACACACATTTTAGTGGTCCAATATCTTTCTTGTTTTTTATGTTTGTTTTGTTGTGATGGAATTTCATTCTTATTTTATATTAATCAAAACTATTTCTTTGAAGGTGACATAGTCCAAGGCCCACCAAGTTGGATGAATTCTCAAGTGTGTATGTTTGTTTTTAATCTCAAGACTTGGTCTAAATCTGTCAGTACAGAGCTTGTGAATTTGAAACGTTACCTGGTCAAATGAATGAACCTATTCCTACTTTCTTGTGGTTTGGGTTAGGTTAAAAAAGTGGTATAAGGCAAACTTGAAAGTTGTATTCATCTCATTACATACAAGTCATTCAACTTTTTATCCCTTGTAAATTAAACTCAAACTTGATAGTCTTAATCATCAGTACAAAAATATAGAATCGTGCTTGGTGTATAATGTTGGACGCAACTTTATTGATAGCATGTCACGTGGCATGTTGTCATTAGAACGACTTATTTTTACAATCAACATTTTTTATCAATATTGGTCAAACAATAAAGCTAAAGTCGTGAAGGCACGAAACGTTGCCACTTGGAGGCAAAATTAGGAATCATAAAATGTACATCATCCAAAAGCTAGCGTCTAAACACTGCTCAATGAACAATTATATAAAAGAATATCTTATCGTGCACGCTGCTTTCATCACCCAAACCGGTAATATAAATAAAATTAAATCGTTTTATAGTTATTTTATTGCATACTGTCTAGTTTATTTGAGGGTCCAAAATACTTCTTGAATCCAGAAATGGGTTTTCTGATGGATTAAGATAAGAATATGCTACCCTATAAAAGCCAAGAAGATTAAACGTCTTTTTCTGATTATATTTTTAATCATCCAACTTTGTTTAAATATATAAATTTAAATTAATTGATTAATAATTAATTAAAAGCGTGGTAGAAAAAGTTCCGTTTTGGCTGTATCTATAATTTTTATTGGACTTTTTGTAATTTTATAAAGTAATAATTGAAGTAGATGGGTATGTTTTGGAGGAGGCAAAGAATCTTTTTATTGTTTAATCTGCTGCATTATTCGCGTATGCTATGTTGTTCATATTCATATATTGACTAAGCTAAACCATTTGAAATAATGAATTCTTTATTTCAAATTGATATTAATTAGTTTTCCATATCATGCTTACGCTTCCTGTTAGATGCCTTAATTTTAGGAGAAAGGGTTACAATGTTACTTTCTAAATACAAAGTAGATACATAAAAACATTGCAAAGAAGCATGAATTATAGTTTAGTTGCGCTTTGTTTGAACTGAGTGGAGAAATATGAGTAATGCTCTTTATATTGAGTGATATTACGATAATCGTTCAATATGAATAACATTATTCTTTAAATATAGTCTAGTTGAGCTTTGTTTGAGCCGAGTGGAGAAACCTGTTGTTCCTTTAACTAATCCTCATTCCGTTCAAGTGATTAGGAAAGACACATAAACAGATATGGTAGAAGGGAAGTGCATCAACATAAGAAACCGATGTTAAAACTTAAATCTATCTTAATTACTCGACCATGTTTAACTACCATACTCAAGAATAAAAAACAAAATCGATGTTTAGTTACTCGACCATGTTTAACTACCATACTCAAACATGAGAAACAAAATCGATGATAAAAACAAGACTCTCTTGCCCACATCAAAACCTTGTAGCACAAAACTCCACAAGGCATAGTGAAAATGGTAACACCAAACTACTAAAAACACAAGTAACGGAGAGGATGAGTAAACACATCAGCGCAGCCTCTTGGCCTCTCTCTCAGATTCGAGCAGGGTGAGAACATCACCCTCCCTGCCAGGTCCTTTGACATTTCGCATAATGAATCGGTTCTGATCATCAATAAATTTCACTCTCACATGGGTCACCTGACCTCTAGACCCAGTCCTACCCACAATTTTCACCACGATCGCATGCTTAATTTGTGAATCCATTCTGCAAAAGCAGTAGATATATTGAATTGAATCAAATGCATTTTTTTGAAATAGTGATAACATGTCATAATAAAAAATGCCTCTGTAAACTATCATAAGCAATGTTACATGGACACCTGCCTGCATTATAGATAACAAAATAACATGACAATTTGTAAACACTTAGTGCAACCATAGAGATACATGTTCAAAAATAGATACAATACACAGAGAATGGTCGTAAAGGCATCCAGAGGGCAAAAAATCAGCAAGGCCGTATGCACCCTTTTGTACCCAAACATCATTCATCATTGTTGTATCTATTTTGCTCCAAACCGAATTATTAGTCCATGTATAAAGACAACCAATGAACCGCACATCTGTATCTTAGTATAAAAGATAGTAACAGTGGAACCTAATTTTCTGGGCTTAAATTAAGCCTTTGTTCCTACCTAAATTGACAAAGTAAACAGAAAAATTTAGAACTTACACATGTTCAACTTTCCCTTTCTGCGTACCAATAATTTGCTCAAAAGAAAAAGTGGAATATACTAATGGGTTTTGCCATTTGTACACCGGGTTGACACATCGGTGTACAGCCCCCTCACAATATGGAGGCCCGTGTCCAATAAAAAGGAATTTATTTGTTTGCACAGAAACAATTCTGCCAAAATTTCACTAGATGCTAATGTGACAACATCTAGCTGGTTTATGTTTTTTTTGCATTGTCCAATAGAAAATTACCAAATGTATTCTATGAAAATTTTGACAGTATTTTTCCGTACACACATAACAGGGCTGACCAAAAAATCACGTCCCCCCCTATTGTGAGAGGACTTGTAAACCGAGGAGTCTACCCCAGTGTATATATAGCAAAACCCATATACTAATAGACACTCATACATGCACGATTGCATCTTTTGTACTTGAAGGAAGATAATTATTCACTATACAAGTATTCCATTACTACCTTTGGCCAAAAATGGAAACACAGCATACTCTTACATCTAAATTTTATCTATATGTGCGAGTATCATTTTGAAAATATTAATCTTTTCCGAGTGGTTTCACTTTGATTACTCCACTATCAAAGAAACAATATATATAGTGATTTTCAAATTCAAAGCTTATAAAAAGGCTGACATGCAGTTCAAAAATTAGCTGAAGTAAACAAGCAAAGATTTTAACCCATAAATGCTATGAATGACCATCCATCATTTTGTTTCATCTCAACTTTTCTAAACCGGTCATAAAAGAAAAGTTATAGGCAATGACCCAAACAAAACTTTTTTCTGAAACAGATTTCCGTTGTCCACTCTCAACAGTTGGCCTTTCCAACTCGCTCAATCTCATCTTTCTTTTTAATTGCATAGCTGAAACTTTGAATAAAATAAATATTAATTGATCAGAGTACAGAGAGACATCAAATTATTACACAGAATATGCAGGGAATCATATTTCTTACCTGTTAGAAGATCTTTTGGCAGCATTTATAAGTTCATCAGCAATGCTCTTGATGTTTGAGAAGGTATATTGCTTGATTGAGACGTCGCAGGGGAGAAATATCAAAAGCCTATCGTCTGACCACACCAACAGAGCCTATACTCCCTTGGCCCACTATATTCGAATGCCATAGAAGAAACGGTTGAAAGAGAGAGCGAGTGTGTGTGTTAAAGGGCGGCTTCTATCAAAGAAACGAATAAATAATCAATAATGCCTTGGTTGATATTACAAAATTCTAGTACAACTCTGAATTTCAAACTTCCCATTTCAGAATTATGTAATAAAAATCGAGAAAGCTTTTAATTTCAAATTTCATCAATGGCTCAATGACATGGAAATGGAATATATAATTTGCCTACCTATTGATAACAGTATCAACAATGACTTGAATGGGGTTTTGGTCAGTTAGCAAATGTGAACTGCCATCAGCTCCTTCCCATTGTTCCATCATTAGAGAGTTGGTCAGCCTCTAAACAATTGGGCATTGCGCCTTTTTGAAATCACTTAGGAACATGAAATGTTTACAACCTAACCAGATTGACAACGTTGCTTCATTTAAATTAGAGTTTGGGTAATTATATCCACACAACAATTTTTCATATCTGCACCACATTTTAATTATAAGAAAGGTTTCCAATATTTGCTCACTTTTGCCTTTATGTCCTGAACTTTTTTCTTGTTGCATTGTCATTCATAACCTTCAATTAATTAATATATTTTGTCTCTAATCGCGATTTTTATCCAAATATTCTACTAACGTGCATTGAAAAGATGGGCAAAATATATATATATATTTTAACTTTTGTATTAGTTATTTATTTCGGTTATATAAAAATAAAAGAGAAAAATATGTATTTTCAGCCCACATAACAAACATTTTGGACGAAAATCGTCTCTATAGAAAAGATTTAAAAATTAATATAGAGTCGATGATAAAAAGAAATTAAAAAAAAAACAAAATAAGTGTAAAAATAAAAAAGTTGTAGGAATATTTATTGTAATTAAAGTGTGTGTAATTAACAAAAAATGTGGTGTGAATATATTTACCCTTAGAGTAATGCCATGACAAGAATACACAAATTGGAATGGCATCAATTAAACTGGTGCATTGTACGTGAATGAAGAAAATCAAAGTGATAGGCCAATAGTAATAAAAAATGAAGAAAAAGTTCAGGACCAAGGACAAATAGATAATTCAAGTTACCAGGGTGTGCAGATTTCAACCAGTAGGAGAAAAGAACTCAATTTCGAAACAAATTTTCTTTATGATTCCAGAACCAAAGTAGTTTTTAAGGGAAGTAAAAATGTTAAGAAAAACCATTTTCTTCCTAATTTCTTTGTTTTGAGGAAAATGGTAGATTTGTGTTGTGTTTAAATATTGCACGATGATAAATCAATTCAAGCATCTGTCATCTTGCTCGCATATTATTATCTTTGCTTTCTATCCTTCCACATATTCGAGCAAGATCTTTGTTTAGTAGTGTTACAAAGGAAGGGCGGAAAGAAGAGAAACGTGAACTTTGGCCTATCAAATAACAACCATTCGATCTTATTCCTATCCAACCACTAAGCCTCGTTGCTTATATCCTTGACCCTTTCAAACTTCAAACTTTGATGGTGAACTCTGCCTTAAATAAACCATAACTCCTCAAATAAAGCAACTTTAGAACTTATGGAATTCATACACTTAGCCAACCAAACTGGAAGGCCATATATATATTATAGGTTATGAAGGTGAAGGGAAAACAATCAGAAGCTCCAAGAGTACCAAGCGACTATAGTAAACAAAAAAGGCACCTTGACTTGACATATAAACATATCTTTTGTGCGCATAAAACATAACTACCAGACTCTACTCGTGCTATTTATCTAACAAATAAGATAAGATAGATATGTGCCGAAGCAAGACAGAGTAGTCACTTCATAGTTTCTGTCACTAAATTGAGTATAATTATACACAGTGAAAACAATTTCATTACAAATTGACAGCATATAATACAATTAAAAATTGCCAGCAACCATACATGCACATTGTCTGGTAGCAAAGAATTACTTCTCCAGTTGGAAAAAAAAACCACCAATTGCAGCAGAAGCATACTTTTCAAGTGGAAGTAGTCTGGAAAGAACAATTCTAAGAATAGCACCCTCTATTATCATTCTTGATGAATTAAACAATGAAATGACGACATCAATGCACCAATATTTTGTTTCCAGTACAAGTTTCTAAGAAGAGCCTTTTTCAACATAACAAAGCTTAAAAAAATTCCAACCCCAAATCATCGATTCTAGAGGTATAACAGACAAAAAAATGAGCAATGTTATGTGCAAATACAAATTTGCAGCAATATAACATACACTTACTAATAGATCAAACTCTAGTTTTAGTTACATGAGATTGGGAAATTTCACTATTGTTCATCGATCTATAGTCCGAACAGTAAGTTGGTCATCAACCTTTAAACATAAGTTAGTGTCATCCTCAACCTTTTAAAAGGAGCAAATTAATCATAGTTATCCTATTACAGTTAATTAATTAGAGTACTCAGTTGAGAGAATTGCAATTCTCTAGAATGAGTGTAAAAGACAACATTCAAAAATAATTTTGTCGACCTAAAAAAATGTCATCTCTACATTTCAATTAAGATGTGGTTCCACATGAGCTTCTCCTACACACAGAAACACATCGTGAGTCGCCCGCTGCCTTTTTCGAAGGTGGCGGAGGCTGCCGTTAGCACTTCAACGATCAAGTTAGTAAGCAAGTATTGGGGAGGATTATAAGGGACACAATGTATATATATATATTGAAGAAGTCGGAATATCATACCTTTAAATGGTAGGATGCATGGGTTCATATAATTTTTAAGGCACCGTGTGATGAAGAGACATGCGGCATCATCTGACGGTGGGACCAATCCATGTCCCTTCCTAGGTATCAATCGTGTGATGAAGAGACACGTGACCTTAACTGACGTGGGAGCAATCCTTGTCCCTTCCTGGGTATCAATCTGTCAATCATAGGTTAACATTTATTTAATGCAACATTTAATGCTTCCAGCCAAAAGTTGATAATTTGACATGTTGGTGTCTTCTACAGAGGTCACATCAATCAATTAATCACCTTGTGATTGTCAAAAAGCTTCTGGATTAGGAGAGTTGCTGAACCCCCAAGTCTTGTTGTGAGGAGTCGTCACCACTTTGGTAGGTCGTACCTCAGCGTTCCTCACTTCTCACGAAGGTCAACCGAAGCTCCACTCCAGATTGTGCGCATGTCGTATAGGGTGGATGACCGAAATGGCTCTCCAGTTCAATTTGGTTTGCATACACCTTGGTACGCTTGAGTGGGAGATGTGGGTCCACTGGTTGCCATGCGGTGCCGGTGTTGTCACTTAGCTATTACGAGCAGAGGCGTAAGCCGCATAACAACTTTAATTTTAGGAAAACTTGTTGAAGATGCCTAGAGAGTTGTGAAGACAAAATTGTTAGAACATTCCTTGAAACAAATAAGAGAAATGGTCTAGAGGGCGAAATTCAACCATATTATCAAACAGGAGCACCATGGGCTTTGATGAAGAGGTCGGAGAGTTTGGGGCGATCCAAGATGATCCAAAAAAAAATTTAATCTCAAGATAAGATCAAACTTTACCTAATATTCAAAATTTATGAACATGCGCTATTTGTGTATATACACACACACTAATATTTGAAGGCGACAAGTAAAATTTTACTTTAATTTTTTTCATCCAATAATTATGTGTGAAATCGTTATAAACTTTAGGAAAATGTTTGTTGTACATAACCATTTATATAATGTTTTACATAATGATGACGTATCAAAATATAAGTGAGAAAATTATTTGATTGATGAAATTTTGATCCAATTAAATCTCATCAACACATCATTTGTTGGTACTCATCATGTAAGTTGTTATGTACATGTAGTACAATTTTAAATTTTAATAACTAATAATAATAATAATAA